AACAACTCACAACTGAAACAAGAATACAAGAAGGTTAAAATGTTTAAGCATTAAGCATTCAAAGGTTGCAATGAAGGAAAAAAACTGGTTAAAAAGAAGACCAATGCATTAACGGGGGTGGAGTGGGAGATTGCACGATGTTTTTCTTTTTTAACCTTCCCAAAGCCGTCCGTGGCTGAGGGATCTCCCGGTGGGGTCGCATTCAGGTGCCAGTCTGGCTCAAGGAGGCACAGCCATCGGAGACCGTAGGACAGAGGTGGCAAACTTAGGGCACGCCTGCCAGAGGTGGCACTCAGAGCTGTCTTTGTGGGCACATGTGCTGTTGCTCCAGCCCAGCTCCATCACATTTCTCCCACAGGGGGGAGAGACAGGGGGAGGGGAAGAGAGAGAAAGTGTCAGCACCTCTCCATTAAATAATTAGGAAAGAAAGACCACGAGACTCCATGTGTGGAAATCAAGTGTACTTTTACTAATTAAAAATGATTATCTGAATATTTAGGCGCGAAAGCGATTGATATATAGGATAGCCCATTCCCCACCCCTTGGCATCACAGTTACAGTCCAATCATAATAGAGGGGTGGGGGGAGAGAAAGATAACGGGGGGGAGGGGAAGAGAGAGAAAGTGTCAGCACCTCTCCATTAAATAATTAGGAAAGAAAGACGACGAGACTCCATGTGTGGAAATCAAGTGTACTTTTACTAATTAAAAATGATTATCTGAATATTTAGGCGCGAAAGCGATTGATATATAGGATAGCCCATTCCCCACCCCTTGGCATCACAGTTACAGTCCAATCATAATAGAGGGGTGGGGGGAGAGAAAGATAACGGGGGGGAGGGGAAGAGAAATGATATTACAAAAGTTTTTCTTTTTCATTGTTGCTAAACGTAATATTTCAAAAGCAGGGGGGAAAATTGAAGGTGCATAGAAATGCGTTTATCACATTTTTCTTAGAACAATTAGCTGAACTCTTGTCTTGTTTATCATTATTTTAGGTAGTAAAACCTCATCATTCAGGTTAAATTGCCATGTGGGCACACTTTGCAATAAATAAGTGGGTTTTGGATTGCAGTTTTGGCACTGGCTCTCTAAAAGGTTTAACCATCGCTGTCATAGGAGATTTCATCAGGGAAGAACTACGTTCTTGTGAATTTGGGTATCCAGGATGGCCCCGAGTCGCACATTTTCTAGGCATCGAAGTGCAACCCGGAGCATTTCTGGGATTTAATATTAGCTTGCTGATTTAGTTGCCTCAAAAGGGGCTCTGCTCATCCCTTAAAGCGGCCCCCTTGATTGTGACAAAAACGTTTTTTTGAGTTGGAAGCCCCTTCTTGGAAATCTTCTGACTTGGGACGAGGGTGTGAGATCCGCAGAAGTGTCTCAGTAGCCACGTTGGCAGGAGATGGCCGGAAAGACCAAGTCCCAGAGCGCACTCTGGTGCTGCAACATGGAGTTTGTAGTCTTCTTTAAGTTAGGAGGACAGCCGGCTGTTGCCACAGGTGATTTTTCAAAGTATGGATTATATTCACGAAACGGTGCAAGCTCTCCTGGTGCGGGGAAGTGCGGATTTTCTTGGCAAGCTCGTGCAACGGTTTTCACGAGAGCTTCCTGGGTTCTAGCAAGCTGGCCGGAGTTTTCCGAGCAATCCTAGGAAGGAGCCAAAGGGCCCCTCTGTGCGTTCGCTTCCTTGGCACTTTTGAGCCAACT